TGTAAATGAAATTGAAAAACTTGCCCAACGAGCGGTACATTTATAGACCCTCCGCTCGGGGGATTCGGCGAAATATTACCCTCAGTGACAAAGGGGCAAAGCCCCTCGGAAAATATCATCACTGAGGGTAATATTTCGCCGAATCCCCCGAGCGGAGGGTCTATAAATGATATATTATACCGAAAATTAAAAGCCTCCAAGTTGAGAAATAAAAACTTGACACATACCTTCGTGAATACAATGTTTTATTTTCGGATTAACGCAAGTATCGTCGCTTTTCTTTCGAATCACATATCGTTTGGAATATTAATGACAACATTTTTTTCAAAATTTGCTTCAAAATTTTGAAAAAGCCCCAGGTTTTACATCATTTACCCAGATTATCACTCATCGATACTATTTATATTTTGTCGACCATGTTGTTGTCATGCGTGTTGTCTCGCGTGGTCTGCGCGAATAATGTTCCACCCCATGTTCCCCAGGGAACATGAGGTGGAACATTGTCAAAAGGAACGCAGGCTTGCTAATTGATGACGTAAGGCGTGATATCGCGATTAATTTCATGCTCACATGGCACAAACTAAGCTTCCTGATTGGACAATTTGAGGTATAATATTTGGGAAAGATTTTATGTCCAAATGATCACAGCGTTGATAATAAGGATTTTTCCTCAAAAACGGTATTATATTAAAGGTCTCCTCAGGAGACCAGCCTCTCGAAATTAGAAAGTCTGCTGGTCAGAGAACTCAAGTTCATTGAACATTTAAAAAACTAACGATTTATTTCAAATAGTTGAAAATATATGTCTGATGTTGGATGCACATCATGAAATATACTGCCTTTTTCAGTTTGAAAGAAAAACTGTCCAAGAAAAGTCAAAGAAACTGGCTTATTCTTGAATCTTGATTTTAATATAAATATTTAATACATTTAATTTATATGCAATTTTGAAATTACTATTTATTTGTACTTATACCTTTTACCTCAGAGGAAAAAATTAACTAGAAAATATTTTATTGTAGGTTTCTTAGTTTCTAAAATTTTACCAATAAAAAGGCCTATATTAAAATTAAACATGCATGAGTGCTCTTTAGTATGCAAAATATGGTGAAGATATAAACATTTAATAATTAATAGATAATTACAGAGGCCAACGGCATTATTCGATATATTGCAGCCAGCTGAGGCCGAAAAATTACTGACCCGAATCAAAAGTAATTATTTTCGGCTGGAAGACTACGTTGCTGCTTGTTGGGACCGTATGACAATGAATCTATCCAACGTTACACAGTACACTAGACATTTGTGAGGACATGCATGTAATGCATCGTGATAGAACAGATTTCAGTTTAATTAATCGCCCTAAATTAAAATCTCCACAAGCGGAGGTCAATTATAGTGTTCTACAGGGTGTCCCAAAAAAACCCGAAAACTATTGAAATCACTTATTGTTAAAGTGCTAATGTCACAAAAATTTATTTTTGATATTTGGTAGAGGACAAAAAGTTAGTTAATAGGTTCTTTAACATTTTTCGGTTTTCTCTTTTCATTCGCGAGATATGAGGCTCTAAACCTTGAAAAATTGGCTTTTAGCGAAAAATTGTCGCGCCCGAGAAAAAAACGGAAAAGAGTCTGGGGCGAGACCCGTGTGACGTAGCTTAAGGGACGGAAGTTCGAATTCACATGTGAAGGAGCCTAAAAAGCTATTGGGAAGACATATGTGTTTCAGCACTCATGGTTCTTAATGTGACTCAGAATACAATTATATTCCTAGGTATATTATACAGGATGAATCAAATGATACTACACACGAAATTGGAACTCTAGAAGCAGTTGATAGCGAAATTTTAGGCGATTATGTGCTAGCGAGCCAAGAATGCTACGCGCGATAAAAGCTACGCGCGATATTTAAAACTTTGCGGAACACATGGAACAAAACTAGATGCTAGAACGAAGATTAGACGGCCTTGAAGATATTAAATCATGGTTAGCGTAAACATAGATTTATTTAGCCTGCGAACAGGCTCTCAAGCTGTATTGAGAGCCTGCATCGATGACTAATGAATTTGAATATCTGCGTCTCAAATCGTGACGCGAAATTCTCATGGTCAGATACTATAATTTATATTATTCCGCTGAGCTCTATATATGTCAACTGCTAAGCACTATGCATAAAAAACACATTAACTGATCAAATTGGTCTTGGCCATCTTATCTCAAAGCATGAAATGTTCTGTTTTGAGAAAACAGTATTTAAAACATTTAAACTTTTGCTTCGATATCTTATATTTTGAAAAACAGTATAAACTGTACGGTCTAAATTTAGTTTGCATGGTCTAAATTTAGTTTGCACGAAAGTTGTAAACAACACCATATAAGGATAGACATTCCATATTTGGAAAAACGAACGTTACGGGGCGGATATTCAAATTGATTAGTCATCGATGCAGGCTCTCAATTCAGCTTGAGAGCCTGTTCGCAGGCTAAGATTTATTTAACATTTTAACGGCGTAAAACAAGTATCTCTGGCTGATATATTTTTGATACGGCATCAGTCACATCAAACCCTCACCTGTATCATATTTCACAAGTGTAAATGCGGCGATTGTGTGATAATACAATATACAATATACAATATACACACGAAGCTTGGTGCTGTCAGGAGATGGAATCTTGTAGGGATGTTCTGAAGGATAACTTCGTTTTAGAAGATGTGCCACAGCCGCCGTGCTGTATCACTCTGCACTCGGGATTCAGACCTATTTCTTTGGAAAAATGGGCTTTAAGAATTGAACTTGCGAGAAAATACAATCGTTCAATCGTTCGTATTAAATAAACGTGATCACAGAGAAACACTGTAGCTTCCAACAAGAATATATACGTAATTTGCTCTGAACCAGTCTGTTTATATTTTCTTTGATCTCGTGTCTTGTATTTTCTTGCGAAGGTGAGGGAAGTGTGGTTTTAACTCTTTGTTGTGACTGATGCCATATGAGCCCGTATCCCGCAAAATATATTAGCCAGAGATACTTTATATTTTACGTTAAAATGTTAAAATAAATCTATGTTTACACTCACCATAATTTAATATCTTCAAGGCCATCTAACCTTCGCTGTAGCATCTCTTTTTGTTGCTTGTGTTCTGCTGAATTTCTGAAATATCGTGCGTACCATTCTCCGCCGGCTAGCGGTTCATCGGCATAAAGGCATGCATCATAATCGCCTAAAATTTCGCTATCAACTGCTTTTAGAGTTCCAATTTCGTGACTAGTATCATTTGATTCATCCTCTATAATATATCCAGGAATATAATTGTATTCTGAGTCACATTGAGAACTATGAGTGCTTTCCGAATCCGAGCTACTGCCTGACATGCTGGAAAATATATCAAATGTATAATGCGCGTCGAAATTAAGTCCCTTAAGCTACGTCACACCACGCTCGTCCCAGACTCTTGTTGATACGCGACAATTTTACGAAAATCGCTGTTTAGAGCCTCGTATCTCGCGAATGAAAAGAGAAAACCAAAAAATGTTAAAGAACCTATTAACTAACTTTTTGTCCTCTATCAAATATCAAAAAACATTTTTTGTGACATAAGCACTTTAAATTTGAATGCCCTACCAAACAGCTGGACGTAATGATGCGTAAAATACTGACAAGGTGCATGTATTAGAATTTAGTTAGGAATATCTCCTGGTAATTAAAAACAGCTTCTTAAAGGGTATTGGCAACAAAAATTGCTTCCTCTATCTTATTGCTTCATCTGAAAGAGCATGAAAAAATAAGCCGATTGGCCGTTTAATGCTCTATTCTATCTCATCTAGTTCCGAAGTTATACGCAAAAATGTGAAAATATAAATTGCTGATTCAGCACAACGTGTGACGTCATTAGCTGGGTAAGTATGTTTATTGAATACTACACTGAAGCATAGCTCAGTTATTATGGGCCCAAATCAAATGAAATTTTGCATACTGATTGTACATGATGAAACGCATGGAAAAACACTTTTAATTTTGTGGCCAAGGTAACAATGTCGTTTCCAGGCCCCTTGCGCCAATTTTATGAAACAGCTTTTTTTCAAGGTACTGATAAGAATAAAATAATATCAGAAGTATGTGTCTGATACCTATGCATGCCAAAAGTTTACTTGCATGATAATAATTCGAAAATGACATACACATAGATAAATGCAACTAGTTATTCAAAATCAGTGTAAGAGGCCTGGGAACGACTGTGTTGCCTTGACAACTAAATTAGAAGTATTTTCCCATGCATCTCTTGATGTACTATCTGTATGCAAAATTTCATTTGATTTGAGCCAATAATAACTCAGCTATGCTTTAGTTTACTATTCAATAAACATACTTACCCAGTTTATGACGTCATAGAATGTGCTGAATCAGCAATTTATATTTTGCACATTTTTGCGTATAACTTCGGAACCAGATGAGATAGAATAGAGCAGTAAACGGCCAATCGGCTTATTTTTTCATGCTCTTTGAGATGAAGCAATAAAATCAATAAAAATTTTTGTTGCCAATATCCTTTAAACAGTTTCTTTATGCATAGAATTTACTTATGTCAATCATTTATGCACTCGCGTGGGAACCAACAGAGCGCTAAGGCATTCAAATTTTAACAATTAAATTGTTATTGGTGATTTCAATAGTTTTCTTTTTTTGGGGACACCCTGTAGTTTACATATTATCATTAATGATAAGGTTAATTCAAAGAGCGTATTAAACTGGATAAACACGGGAATAGAACTTACGGTGTGTTCTGCACATGCGTATATCTAGGATAAAATCCCACAAGCGCAAAGGAAACTATTTCTCTATAAAGTTGAGCTGAAAGGACTCACAGTGACCGTTTTGGCAGTGCTTCAGGCGCCCGGTGATATTGTATGAGGGGCCTTTAGCACTGTCAACTTCTCATCTTGAGATGTTCACGTTATCGCGTGTACTTGTCAGGATGACGAAGGATTGCGAATAATGTCTGTGTGCACTGATACAGGCTGCATTATTTTTAATAATGCCGTGTGCACGCTGCATTATTTTTAATAGAGACCTTAAGATTGACGTTTACGGCAAACGTCAAACCGCTAGCGAAGTTTTTGATTTTACAACTCTATTATAATAGCTTTTACACCAGTTTTG